AACGATATATCTTCACTGGACCAAGGAAAATCGTCGTGAAGATCCTCATCAAGCACATACCACTGAGAATCCCATGGTAGATGTGAACGCCGTGACAAATTTCTAAAGTCATAAAGACAGTGTTATTTGTGGAAATGTAAATTTTAATAATGATAAAAATTAAGATTTTAATAATTTGAAATGTTTTTATTTTATAGTTATAATGTTACATTCGACAATGAAAAGAGAACTATAAAGAATAGAATTAATTCAAATACTTACATTTTGAGCTTTTGAAACATCGTAAGATTCTTAGAAGATAAGAGGAAACTAGAGACTATAGAGAATCTGTAACAAAACAAAAAACATTAGAATTTGTATTTAAAAGCAAAGCAAAATCTTAAGTTGTAGATAATAAAAGATTCTTACATTCTTGGCTTTGGAGCCACTGTTTCATTTTCCTCACAATATACCAGAAAATTGAGGCTGTGAAACATCTATAACAAAACCATCCAACATTATACTTTGTCAAATTTGAAAAATTGATTAAATTGAAGTATAATATATAAAATTACTTACGATTTTGGTATTCTCCTGGACAGACTTTATCCTCTCGAGCATTGACTTTAATATACCGAAAGCGAACATTGAACAAAAAAAATATTAAAAAAAAAAATAAAGGACTATCAACCCGTGCGTTTAAATAATAATCGGCGAACTCACTGACTCTAATTTCACGAATTATAATTTATATGAACTAATATTCTATTTTGATGAAAGCCATTTTGCTTAGAAAAATATTAAAATACTGCGCAATGAACACTGATTCTACCGACCGCATTGCGCGCGATTACAAAAATTTTCTGAAAATAAAGTTGATTAGAATGGAAAGAACAAAGAGCACGTTCACTTAGAAAATATTGCTATTTTTCTAGAAAATGAAGAAATTTAAGTATCCATTAAAGATATTAGTTGGAAATTATAAAATATTTCTTAATATTTGCAGAATTGTATTCCGAATGTTCGTTATTAAATTATGAAGTATGCACATTAGTAATACATCACGTCGTGCATTATAAATATTCGGAAATGTTTGCACAAATCTCAAATTTCACAGCTAAATATATTTAAAGAATCATACATGTGTAAAATCTTGCTCTGAATTGTTTAATTGCGCGTCAGCGTTCGAAACAAGTAAGTATATGTAGCAAAGTATAGTATAATATAAAATACGAAAACTTTTTTTAATCATCTAATACAAGAACATATATCCATTTGAAAGTATATACCATTAAGCTACTACGATCTCCACATTCGAAATAAAATATTAATTGATTTAATCTTTACCATTTTCATCCTTATATCCCATCTAATTACGAAATTGCGTATTATAAATTGTATTTCAAATATATATAAATTATATAGCAAATGTTACCTAGAATGAATAAAATGTTACTAACTTTCCGTGAAAGTCCATCAGATTGTTCATTAACGATCTTGGCGTCTATGCATGCTATCTTCACAATCAAGGAATAACCTGTACGAAAAAAATCAGAAGTTAGAACACATATTCTATTCTACATAACTATTCTTGAATTTAGTATTAGAATTGTTAAAAATTATGCAGTGCGAAGTTAAAGAATCAACAAAGTAAAACTGAGTAAAAAATGGAATAATAGAAGTGTGTGTAAAAGCATATAATAAAATACGCGCGCGCGCGTGTGTGTGTGTAACAATAAGTTAATCAAATACAAAGTTACAATATTTCTGGTTAAAATTGAAATTAAAGTTTGGTATAAAATTATAAATAATTCTAACATAGTGTTCTGTTTAAATGCTTATATGCCATTATTTCTTTAATTGCTGAAAAACAATTACTTGGTTAAATTTTACTTTACTAAAAATTATGCACTGTTTTTGGTAATCTGGCTAAGTAATCGACGAGTTTAAGCCAGAGTAAACTCATCAATAATCGATTAGTTTAAGCTAAAAGTGCAAGTTTTATCTTAAACATTCACAACATAAACATAAATTTAACAATTATTGATTTAAATTTTTACCTGAGAACTTTTGGATGATGCCTCTGGATGATTTTTCTGGATAATATTTTCTCCTTTACAAAGTGTGCTTCTTTCCGCCATGCTTCCCGTTTAAAAATCGATCTTATCGATTATGGTCGAGAATCGTAGGAAGTGTATTCCGTATTTCACCGTTGGCGTTGTAATCGCCATATTACAAAGTCACAATATTTGTATTGGTTAGAGTTGAAATTATATTTTGGTATAAAAGTTTATATAACTTTTAGCATGATATGTTCTGTTTAAATATTTATGTGTCATTGTTTCTTTAATTATTGAAAATTATATGTCATAATTATTTGGTTAAATTTTATTTTAGGGAACTAAAAATTATGCACTGTTTTTGATAATCTGGCAGATTTCGATGGATTAAAACCAAAAGTGTAAGTTTTATCTTAGAAATTCACAATACAAACACAAACCTAACAGCTATTGATTTAAATTTTTACCTGAGAACTTCTGGATGATTTTTCTGGATAATGTTTTCTCCTTTACGGATGTCTTTTCCGCCATACATCCCGCTCAAAAATCGATCCTGAGAAACATCGATTGTGTTCCAGAATCGTAGGAAGTGTATTGCATATTTCACCGTTGGCGCTGTAATTTTTAACTGACCTAAATCCAATACGCGCGTGTTTAGCACTAAAGGTTAATTCAAAATAAAAAAAACAAAAAACTCTGTTCTAAATCAAATACACAAAAATTATGTGAAATTCTTAAAAAAAACGAAAATATTTATACACTAGATGAAAAATTGTCAATATTTTAAATTGTCATAATTTCGTGAAAAAAAAAAAAAAAAAATGTAGAACAATTAACTTTATTTTATTTTAAAGCGCAAAGTTTCTACTTCAATAATGCTGAGTTCATTTTTTTCAAAGATATTTATTTTTACATCAAATATAAAAGTAAATAACTTTTTTTCTTGAAAAATTCAAAAGTCTTGCCAAAGAGAAGTTTTTCCAGCATTGAATAATTTTTTTTCACAATCAAATCAATCATGATCTTGAAAATTGAAATCTTTCCTTTGTAGTAAGTCCTTAAAACTAGCTGTACAATTTTTTTTTTTGCCATTTTATTGAATTTTAAACAATAATATGATTTGCAGGAGAAGAACATGGCGTCCATTATTAGAGGTGCGGCATCCTCCGATTGATTGTAAACACGTAAATTTTAAGTATACACTTTATCCCTAGAAATATTTATCATAATCTAATTCGTGATATTTCATTTTTATAGACACAAGTGAGATTTGGAGCCGATTATTCCGTCATCGACCATTTATTCAAGGCGAAATTACATTCTTTCTTCGTGAATTTCAGGTAAAAAGTTCCGATTTTCTTATTATTAATAGCTGTATTTTTATATAAAAAAAAAGAATTATGAAAGATCATAAAAAAATATTATCTATTAAAGAATGAGTTGATTATTTTGTGTATGCATTGGTAATAATTTGTCATCGTACATAACCTAAAATTTATAGGAAAAGAGAGGCGACCGAGAAGTGGAACGACTTTTCAAGATACTTGAATATTCAACGGAATTGAAGGAAAGTCAACTCGATCGAGCAGAACAACTTGGAGATTGTCATTTGCCAAGTTTGAAAGCAAATGTTGATGTTGCTCTAAGTATGTGTGAAAGAGTTCTTCAAAGGGAACAAGATTTTGACAGTGTATGAATTATTTTCTAGAAATATTTTTATATTTATCATATGTATTGATGGTAATGTTCAATAATCTTTTTACCTTTTAGGATATAGCATTGCAAGAAAATAGAGAAATAAGAAAATTAGAATGGGAAAAGTTTGTTAATGATATGAGTGAAAAGTGTGAAAAAGTAAATCAAACTTTTGACGAAAAAGAGAATGAAATAAAAGAATTTTATATTGACTTAGAAAGGAAGTTACACATTACATCATAAGTGTTGTTATATAAAAATATTCTACAAATATATTTTGTACTTTGTAATAATTTATATCGATTTTGGATTTAATGTATTATATTTAACAACAGTTATTTTATTAATAATAGAGTATTTCTATTTAAACAATATAAGAATGCCAATTGAATTAATAGAAGATTCTTCCATTAAAATCAAACCAAATAAGAAATTAATAGAATTTATTTGCAAAAATGTAAAGAAAACAAATAATACTCCACCCACTATTATTGCCATAAAGAAATCGACAAAAGACAAGCAGAAAGATATTTTATTAAAATTGAATGAACTACGATGGTTGAACAAATATTTAGAAGAGTACAGAACTATCAACATGGAAAGTATTTATTTACATGAACTTTTAGAGGAAGATGATATCAGATTACCAACTCCAAAAGTTACACCAAGAAATCCTGAGTTGGAAGCTAGAATGCAAAAATTGAGAGCACAACAGAATGCTATCAAATATAGAGCTATGACTAAAAATGTAGATACTGTTACAAGGAATCTACCAGAAGACAGCATTTCCTATCAAAGTAAGATTTTTTACTTAATACATACTTCATATCTATTTTTATACACAAACTACATACATTACATGTATTTTTATTTTTCAGTGAAACAGATAAATAAGCAACTCATAGCTGTTGCACAGTTTGTATTTTCCGTACTAGCAGGTTTTGCGTTTGGATTTATAGGTGTGGAATTAATAGTAGGAAATTTAGACTTTGGGTTTAGATTATTATTAGGTATAATTTGTGCATTAATTATTGCCTTGGCTGAAATTTATTTTTTAGCAATTAAATTAAATGAGGATATATATGATACAGTTTCAACAACATCAACTAAAAAATTGCATCAAGAATAAAATTTTATAAAGTATTACTGTTATTAATTCACACTCTTCTTGAATTGTCTTTTTGCAATTTCTATAAAAATAAAACATGGAACAATTATGTGCCAATATATAAAATGCACAAAAAACAATTTCTAATGCAGTTAAAAGATCAGCATAGAAAAATTAATTTGCATTTATTTTGTATTATGGCACTTTCTAGGCTAAATTGTAAATCCTTTATTTTGTACTGTGCAGAGTTGGAAAGAAGAGAAGTGATAGTAAGTTTCTTAATAAATAAATTCAATAAATTTTTAAATATAAATGTCTGTTGGCCAAAAATAAATAAATAAACACAAATAAACAAACTCGTATAGCACAGCATGTTGGTAAGTGATGACAGATAACTATATTTTTTGCCCCTTTACCGTTTCACTAGTCTTGTTTTTAGTTCCGCACAGTACATATTTTTTGAATTACTTTTCGTAATATGGCTATGAATTATAAATGTGTTTTATTGTTAATAAAGATGTTCTATTTAATCTTCAATTTATCTTTAATGAATACATACAAAAATAGTATTAAATACCTAGAATTATTGTCTGTATTTGATCTAAAATATTAAATAGACAAATAGTTTGAATATTCTGTAAAAACTAAGTGTTTGCAAAGTTCACAGTGGTATATTGTTTTAAATTGAGTTCGAGGTATGTTTCTTAAATAATCAGAGAGCTGGTTTATGAAAATAAATATCTGCTTTCCTATCTTTTGCTTTCATCTTCACTGTCACTTTTATCACTGGCTTCACTTCTGTCACTAGCAGAATCACATTTGCCATTCTCTTTTGTTTCACTCTCATGCTCACTATTTGACGAATTGTCAGCCTTTCTATCACTGTCAGAACAAGAATCTGTATCTGATTCACTGTCACTGTCCGAGTCTGAGCTACTTTCTGAAGAACTGCTATGTGAATTTTTTGCAGCCATCATTTCTTTGAATTGTCTGACTGTAATCTTCCTGGGCATTATTTCTCTGAGAAATTCCAATGTATCATTGGTCTGTACTACCTCTGCAAGATGCTTATAGTCTAAAGAATTTCCTTTGCTACTTCTCAAATGAGCTTCTTCCGTTAGATAATGTATAAATAGTTCCTATAAAATTGTTTTCGTTTTTGTTTATTCGTATTTACATATGAGAGATACAAAGTAATCACTTAATAAGGTGAATCATTTAATAAACTAACTCGAATAAAACATATATTTAAAAAAATGGACTAATAAGTATTGTAAATGTGAAACGCATAGAAAAACAAAAATTTTTAATTGACGCGCGAAATAACAAATATGGAAGCTATATAAGTATACAGAATCATGTTTAAGCGTCACTTAACCTCATTATTTGAACAACAATCTTACCGTAGCCTTTGTGACTAGATACAATCCATCTTGCCCGATTGTATCGACGTAAGGAGAACTTCTCATAATTGTTTTTACTCTTGACATAGGCAAACGTAATTCCTTCATTTTTGCGGGCGAATTTTGCGCAGTCATTTTTACTGAAAATTGATTTCTCTTAGAACCAAACTAACTGTACGACAGTAACGTCTATTATTCAATTGCCGCCAATTTTTGAATTCTGTATTTTACGTAACTATTTAACACAAAATTTGAGAACATGTAAATGTTGAATCGAATCCTATTTTTAATTTTATATATATAAAATTAAAGGCTAAGAATATAAATAATTATAATTCTAAACAGTTAATATGATTCAAACTTTCCATATGATATTACCCATTTTTTAAATAATAAAAATATCGCATATAAAAAGATTTAAAATAATTTTTATTTAGTGGTCTATTAATAAAATCAAAAAATTCTTTTCGGAAAATACTTTAAAAAAAGCAAACGTGTGTTGAATTCATTGGTAGTATATAATAAGATACCCTAGTGACATCTTCTTTCACTAATCGAACATTGCTGTTTCTATTTCTTTTCATTTGGCACGTTATCTCCGGCTTACAGAAATTTTGGCGAACGGACAGTTATTGCATCAATCTGACAATCTGAGACGAGTCAAGGTATATTTAACAATATTTTAGCGGTATATAATCCACATGCACATCAAACTGATTTGCAGTATTAACAGATATTAAATTAATTGTACTTCGCTGTATAACCAGTGAATTAATCGATCAATACGGCACATGGCGGATTCGTGCTAATAATGTTCAAGTGAAAAATTTACAGATTGTTCATATACAATTGTTTGTACTGTTGGCTCATTGGTTCGTAAACGGTATCTTTTAGTTCGTTTCATTCATTCATAGAATGTATGTTCGATTTATACTTGTAACCTTCTATATACATATATGAATCTTTATCTTTCCCATTTTACAAACATCTGTTGTCTACTTCTGATCATATTTGTTACAACAGATTTATTGTTTCAATTTCTCTAAGTTCATACATCTTATGGGATTAAAGATATTTACATTATATTATTTTCTTTTTTTTTTCTCATAAGTATATATTTATATGCTTATGTGCTTACACACATTAAATACAATTTTTTCTGAAATAAAATATTGGCATGATTGATGCTGAATTTATAAATTACAGGAACAAAATATCTATCAGAATGTCAACTTTCCTTGGGCTTATTAAGGAGATACCAGGCATCTCAGTGGATCGTTTTGATGGAGCAAATTTAACATCCTCTATATTTTTTCTTAGTCATTGTCATTGCGATCATATGCATGGTTTGTCAGATATGTTTTTTGAACATGTAGATGAGAATAAGAAATATCTTTATTGTAGCCCTATTTCAAAGACACTGTTAGAAAGTAGATTTAAATTTAAAAGTTCTTGCGTGAAGGAAATAAACATTAATACATCCAGTGTTATAGAGTATACAATAGAGAATGAGAAGATCCTTATTTCTGTAACTTCTGTCGCAGCAGGACATTGTCCTGGTTCTGTAATGTTTCTTTTTGAAAAAAATAATATATCAGTATTATATACCGGTGATTTTCGTATCAATCCAATAGACTTTCCAAAATTAAAAAGTTTACATTATTGTAATGATTTTAAATTGATACCTAAGATATTTACTAAAATTTATTTAGATACAACATTTTTAAGTACTGATTTTCCTGTTTTTCCTACTAGACAAGAAAGTATATTAAAAATGTATGAAGTCATTAAAGATTGGATAACCAAAGACCCAAGGAATGTTGTTATTCTGGAATGTTCTGCTACATATGGTTCTGAATTTCTTTTTGTAGAACTGTCAAAAATGTTAAATATGAAAATTCATGTGAAAAATAATGTGTTCGAAAATTATTGTCGTATTGCACAATTATCTTGTTATGTCACGAATGACCCAAATAGTACTCCAATTCATGCTTGTAAGAGAAAAATATCTTTGTCAGGTTTGCATTGTAGAAGTGATGTAAGCAATATAAATATTTTAACAGTTATCCCATCTGCAATGAAATGGAGAAAAAAAGATACTAGCATAATAGGAGAATGGGACAAAGATAAAGAAAGAACTTTCAATGTATGCTATGCCACTCATTCTTCTCTTGATGAACTCAAAATATTTATTCAATATTTCAAAGCATTAGAGATATATCCATGTGTAATGAAGGCAGAACAAGAAAAAGAAATTTATTCCTTATTAAATACTATAAAAAATAAACCGGATAAACAATCAACAATTAATCAAGAATATAAACTAAAGCTCCCTAGTTGTGAAGTATTAAACAAAGTTAAATTTAAATCTGAATATTTTAGTAGTGATGACGATAGTTTATGATATTTGTTTCTATTTGTTTCTATTTGTATTACCTATCAAGTTAATTGTTAATATATACTGTTACATAATAGCCTTTATTATTATATACAATAATGTACATATATACACATATTTATTATATATATATTTTAATTATATATTTTATACATAACAAAGTATTGTATTTTTAATAAACATAATTGATTCCAATTTTTTAATACTGTTATTTTCCATATTTAAATATTTTCAAATTCTAATAAATTATACTTATTATATTCTAATAAATTATACTTATTAATATATTATAGTTTGGAGTTATTTCCAAATATTGTGAAATGATTAAAATTTCATGTTACAGAAATTTATTTGCATCTTTATTGTTGAACATATCATCTAAATCATGGAAAAATCAGCATTAGCACAAGAGAAAGTATGGTTTGACAAACCATCCTATGACAAGGCGGAACGACTATATTTTGAAAGAATGGCTAAGGTAAGTATTTTTCTTAATAAATTGTAAATTAATGTTATTGGATAAAAAACTGATTGCCAACAGAAGTAGAATAAATGTTTCTAAACATACAAATTCTTGAATAAAGTAAATCTTAAGTTTCATTCATTTTCATCATCATAGTCAAAGCAGACTTTCATCAATAATTATATCCAGAAGTATGTTTACAAACAAAATTTTTTGTTAAAAACAAAAGGTCTATTATTATCAGCCCCAACATCCACAGCTAATATTTGCTTTTTTGTTGTGCCTTGTTTTTTTTCGTACTAACAAAAAAACTAACATTTTTAACACACACTTCAGGGAATATCTGGTGATAGGGAAGATTTTATCTGCTTGCAATTCCATGAGGTGTTGGGAATTTTATTTTTTTTTTAAGAACTTAATTCCCATTTCTAATTGTGTGTTCAAACGAATTACCTAATCTTGTATTTCATTTTTAATGCAAAGCTCTTCTGATAAGTATAATTGATAATTTAAAATAAAAACATAAGATAAGCAATGTAGTTTTCTATTTGTTTATTTGTAATTATGATTACACAATTAATATATCAATATTATTTATATGTTCAGTATATATTTATGTATTTATATATTCAGTGAATTTAAGAGTGCATGGATTGTTTACTCAAGGTATTTAGTTTTTGTGCAATTATGTTTTATAGTAATAACATATATTAAGCATGTAAAAGACATGCTTTAGTTAGTTTGTATTTTACATTATTAATCACAAAACATAAGTTCTTACTTGCATAGCTTAATATTTCAAGGTGGTGTCTCATAAAATTATGGAAAACTGCTCGCTCAAACCTGAAGTTTCTGTAACTAATAATTGTCAGACTAATTCCTTCTTGAATAGTAACTCTTTGACTAAAACAAAGTCTGACAGATTTAAAGACAATAAGTTATTGATTTCTGAGAATATTTCAAATGATATGAAAAACTCTAAATGTCAAATAAAAATATCAAAAATAAATAAACATGAAGATAAATTGAATATGCAAAAAAAAGAAAATATAGAAGAAAAGCAAAAATCTGACAATGTCAAAAATGATTTAAAAGAGAAGGAGAAAGAGACGAGTCCTTCAAGTGATGCATCTAAAAAATATAATACGAAAGAAGTAAAAGAGAAAAAGAATAAAGCAGATACAAGACATAGAAATAGAAAACAAAAAAATGATATTAAGGAAGTAAAAGAAAATGTTACTCCGTTAATAAGGAATAAGCAACAGTTACCTATTCAGGTACATACTGCCATTTGTTCTTTAATGTTTTGTGTGCATCAATGCAGTACCTATAGAATTTTATTTTGTTTACTGTAATATATATTTCATTGCCTAAATTGCTTATTATCAACTAAAGATGACATAATTTTATTCCCTTTTATAAATATTTTATTTTATGAATCTCAAATTTATATTGTTTAATTCTCAGATTTAATAGTTCCTCTATGAACACCAGAAAAGTATTGTACACATTTATCTTACTTGAATACTGCTTGTTGTTGAATACTGCTATGTGATAAGGAAGAATGTAATGCACGTTTGCTTTTGATTGGAAATGTTTGCATTTGCCATGATCTTATTAACAATATGTTTATATAACGGTGATAAATATTTTTATTTCAATTTTTTGTTATGCTTATTATATATTCACTTTTTAAACATTCAAAATATCTCCACTGAACTCTTCTTGAGTATAAACTTATATTTAAATATTTTAAATATTTGAATTTATTTATAAAGAAATTTAAATAAATACACTACATAACTACATACTTTAGTTTTGGATAATATTACTTATAAAATCTAGTGGAGATATGATACTAAATTTTTTGCAATTACCAATTTAGTTTGAGTTGATATTTAATATTGCTGCTGGATATGCAGGGAAATCAACAAACTACTAGTCCAATTCTATCTGCTGGTGGAAGTTTAGCCAATGAGGTTGCCAAGGCTCGTCAACATATTAAACAGTCTTTACAGTGTGTGAGTACTGCACTCTTTGCACACCCTTATATAACAAGTTTTCAAACCTGCTTACTAATGTGATATTCAATATTAATATGAATTAATGGGCATAAGATCTAATTACTTAATAAGAATTAATATTTTTTTTTTCAATTCTAAATGTCTTCTAACTTTAAATGTTTTCTAATTTTATTTTACAGATGGATGATATTGCAGCTGTTGCTGGTCTTACTACTCCAAATGATAACAAAAAGGATATTTCAGAATCTAGTTGTGAGTATCATATTATTTATGTTTAATTATTTTATCAGTAGTATTAGAGATCACCATATTCAAATCTTCATCAACAGTCTTCCAAGAATTACAAAATGCTATTAAAAGTTTGGAGGAACGTGTCAAAGCTCTTGAAGATAAGGTTCATCCTCTTGTATCTGCTGCTCCTCCAGTAGCAGTTTGTCCTCCTAAACCTCAACCAGGTTCAAAACCAGCACAAGAAAAGGCTGATGATGACGAAGATGTTGATCTTTTTGGTTCAGATTCAGAGGCAAGTGGGCAGAAATAGTGGAGGACACTAAGCAGTTAATCCCCTTTTATTTACATAAATATTAAAAATCATTTCTGCACGATACTTATACATTTAATACACTTTACACGTGTCTTCAAGTAGGGTGCAAAAGTGATAAAATGATACGACATTTACGAAATATAGTACACCAGATATTCCCAGAATACTAATACATTCAACCTTAATTCTCTATTTATCACGTGAATTCAACATAAACACCATCATACAAGTATTAAAATGTAAATGTTGTTATTCATGATTTGTACTGTAAATTGCTTAAATACTTGACTTGTTAGGGAGAAGACGCAGAAGCTGCAAAAATTAGAGAAGAAAGACTAGCTGCATATGCTGCAAAGAAAGCTAAAAGTAAGTTGCGTATTAAATTTGTATTTTAAATTTCGATTATATTACATTACACATTTATATTACACATAATAACAATTTACAGAACCAGTCCTGATTGCCAAGTCAAATATCATATTAGATGTAAAACCATGGGATGATGAAACAGATATGAAAGCTATGGAAGAAGAAGTTCGAAAGATTGAAACCGACGGTCTTTTATGGGGAGCGTGTAAGTAAATTATATTTTAGTGTAAATTAAATTTGCTTTTTAATCTAAGTTAAAAATGAAAATATTTATTCCTTTGCAGCAAAACTTGTTCCGCTTGCCTTTGGGATTCATAAACTTCAAATTTCATGTGTCGTAGAAGATGATAAAGTTTCCGTAGATTGGCTTACAGAAAAAATTCAGGAAATTGAGGATTATGTACAAAGCGTAGATATTGCAGCCTTTAATAAAGTTTAAAATATTAATGAAGCTTCCTTTGTAGAGAAATATCTGACGGTTCTAATTGCAATCAGGCATTGGTCTGTTGTGCCATCTTTTCATTCCATTAGCAATATCTACTTTGATAAATACGTTAAATACGTGTTCTATATTAAACGCGAGTGTCCAGAAATAAAAAACCTAGTTATTGTACTCCAATTTTAATATTTGATGTGTCAATTTATCAAGTTTTTAAAAATACTCAAATTTTCAAACTGATTGTACGATCGATATATTCTTTATAAGGAAAAATATAAACAATAAATGTCTAACATAATTCGGTGTATAAAATTGTAACGTCAAGTAGAAACATTTAATTTGCTATAGATGCTATCGAACATTAATGATATTGTATGTAGGTATATAATGCCAATTACTAGTATCATTTTTAATTGTTTGTCTTGGAGTATTGTTATTATAAATAAAAATTGTCAATTTAATTTTTCATTTTATTGTATCCTTTAAATTATTTCCTTGGAATCAATCTGTAGAATTAAAAAATTACAGTGCTGCTCTCTGGTAGCATATACTACATTTAAGCCAATCCTAACTTGGAATTGTTTGACGTTAAGAAGACATTTAGCAAGTTTTGTGCTTTTATTTTTTACAGTAAATAAAAAAATAATTATATCTCAAGATGACTATGGCTATGCTTCAACGAAGAGCTAATGTAAGTGCATATGCTTATATATAAAATTTATTACGTAGTATTGTTAACCTAACCTATATTTTGTTTGTTATTGTGTAAAAATATATCTTTATTCCTTAGGTAAGGCTACCTCCAGAAGTAAACAGGGTATTATATATAAGGAATTTACCTTATAAAATTACCGCTGAAGAAATGTATGATATTTTTGGCAAATATGGAGCTATTAGACAAATTAGAATGTAAGTGTTTCTCCTAATAATATTTTATACTAATAATATTTTATACTTTTTAAATATTGGAGTAAAATTACTTGAGGTTAATGGATTTCTTTGTTATAGGGGTAATACTGCTGAAACTAGAGGAACAGCTTTTGTTGTTTACGAGGATATATTTGATGCCAAGAATGCTTGCGATCATTTAAGTGGATTTAATGTTTGTAATAGATACCTGGTAGTTTTATACTATCAAAGTAATAAAGCATTTAAAAGAGTTGATGTTGATAAGAAGATGGAAGAAATAGATAAGTTGAAAACAAAATACAATTTGAATGAGGAAAAAAAATAATATAATTCTATTCATAAATTTAATTAAAATATGAAAATAATTCATTTTGTGATACAAGCTATTTAATTTGCAGAAATTCATTTTTATATATTATCATTGTAAAATAAACCTATGAGTATTGTAGATGTATCAATAAATGATTTTATTCATTATAATAATATTATTATATGTAATACGGCAGTAAAAGTTCAATGGCCTACAGTAAATAACAAGCGAATATTTTCATGCAGAACGCGATCGTTTCTCGTTCCCTTCCCAAGAAGATTAGAAACCGGGGCGAAAAAATGACGCATTAAAAAGGTGTAATTAATACAACTTTCACAGTCAGTGGTGGAGTAGCATTCCAATATTTCCATATACTTCGCAGATGATCGGCTGTAGTCTTAATTATTATAAGACTCTTCGCTGAAATATATTCATGTCGAGTGACTTACGAGATTGAAGATAAAGATTATTCATTTTGACTTTATATACACGCAATAGTGTATATGAAAATTGAATATAAAATTTAAACTGAATTCTACAATCGTGAAGTTATTTTGAAGCGAAATTATGGATTTTTATTGGAGAGATCAGAAGAAACCAAATGCTTCGTGCGAAGACACGAAGGTGTGACCTCCATCAAGGTAAGGCAAAAAGATGTACCTGTCATTAGGGAGCGCAATACGCGTGTGTCACATGTAATTTAATCGGTCGACTCATCTTGTCGACACTAGCGTTTTGTAATGTGAGCTCGACAGGGTTACGTTTACTTGTCGGGATACTCGATACTGGATGCTGGTAGAAATGCACGGTTCGGTGTACTCCAATACACACACACACACACACCACACAACACACATGCACGCGTGCGCACACGTACGCAGCTCACATACGGTTCTCGTCACCGGCTACCCGGCAGGACATTCGATTTCAGTCGAAAGCGAAAACCCGCTTAGCCCGTTTAGTCGTGTTGTCGCAGCGCACCGTTTTATAGTGCAGCATTCTTATGGGTGCTCCCTATTTATTCGTCGACTTCAACTCGTCATATTACGGCCAGTCGGAGCGTTCAAGGTGCTACAGGGCTTGGTCAAATGTCGTTCGATTGTTGTGGTAGCGGCAAAATCGCCGCCGAGGCGTTCGTGGACGGCCTTGGGACCGTATCGCGTATTCGACGAGCAATTTACAATAGTTTCCTTCACGACATCCATTTCATGGACGTGTATTGTTGGTTGTTCTTTGTCATTGCTGTTTTCCTATTAAGGGCCTTTCTATTAGATACGGTACGCCGTATTCACGTCATGAGGCATCAGACTTGAAGAGTAGCGCGATCTTACGGGGAACGCGAGAGACTATTTTTGTTTTGCTGTTTAATCGCCGGTGTAAATAAATGCAGTTCAAGTCCGATTAAATATAACACCGTAACTCGGGAGTGCGCGATACATTCACGCGATTTACTTTCGCCGTATTGCAATCCTCGATACGATGTAAATAGTCTGGATAAAGGAATGGCGTCGTTTCGACGGATTTCCCGTGTCACGGTGCCTCTGTATATCATCATATTTGATTGATGCGATTCGATTCGTCGCGGACAATTCATCCACATCGTACTTTACGTGGTTAATACGTGAGTGTGCAGTGTCGAACAGTGGGTAACTATGGTGTGTCGTCTGCTAATGTTGCTGACACGAACGTCACACGAAAGAAAGAACGGCGTCCCGTGGAGGAGGAATGAATGAACGGGAAGAGGACGATCGAGGCGTGGCGGGAGGGGATGCGACGACCGTCGTGTTGTGACGGCCTGCTGCCTGCTTGCCGATTTGTATCGAGGTGAGAGTACGTCTACACACGTGTATAAGTATGCTTGCTTGCATGTATGTGCCATGTGTGTTTATTCACGCGATCAACTGTGTCCACTGTCGTCACAGTCGCCGTCACTTTGCGTACACACAGCGATGTTATTTATGCGTAGTCGCGTTCACGCAATTCGTACGAACGTAATTCGTTCTACTCGCGTGAGCTTCGGCCAGTGTGTTTCAGAGTGGCTTACCCTCAAATATTGTAACGCACCATTGAAACGATGAAATTCTAATTATTATCAAATTGGAGCAATAGTAAGCTTGCACGATTGACGTCTCGGATGAGACATTGCCTAGTTATAATATGTCAATGCTACTGTTTGTTCGATAATACTCTCGAATGCAATGATAATGATTGTTATTTTCGACCATATCTTTGTATAATGCATGATAGTTTCTCGTAAAATTTACAATTGAACTGTGAATGTTTATTTCCAAAATATGATGAATTTGGAAATTTCTAAAATCTAAAGTATGAATTTACATAAATAGTCAGTTTACTCAATAATACATAAGTTATACATGTGCTTCACGTTTTCGTATCCATTTTTATCATTACAATTGAAATATTTAATTTAGTTTGCGATTAAAAAATGTCATATAAAACAAAAATTATAATCGTATCAAAAACTTACCAATCGTCTGACTTTATGTGCAGTTTCATTCAATGATGAACCTTATGTAGTCATTTAGGAATACACAAAAGTAAGCAGGTGCCATGTATTTAAGTAAGTATGTTTGTCTGCTGTCTGGATAAATATGTCGTCGCGCTACCGGCTTTTCAGTTACTCTTCTTTATGTTAATACTGAGGAACTTTATTCATGAAGTACATTGAAGCACACTTCTTTTATTCACTTGTTTTTACACGAAATTCAGAAATCATGCAAGTAAATAGCAAGCTAAATCTCGATTGATTTTTCAATATTTCGTTATATTTTGAAATCGCGTTTAACCGAATGTCACTTTTTAATTCCGTTAATCGTACTTAGATTGTTTAAAGTAAGATAGACAAAAAATTGATGCCTTAGAGAGCTTAAGCTTTGTATTCAATCTTTTGGAATCTACAATTTAGATCACAGATGTCGCGTCTTGCGTAGATCTTAGAAGCGAGTTGTGCAACTACACTGTCGCGGAAATCGTAAACAACTGGGATAATTTTAAACGCGAAAGAGTGAAAAAATAAAATTATCAAGTTTCTCCAAATTGTTTAATATAATTACCGAAGTGTTTTATACAGTTTGCTACAGTACAATTTATTACGGGCGTTGAAATGCATAAAAGTGATTTTTCATCATACAACGTGTAATTCAAATAGCACAAGGTTATACCGCGTTTTATTGCGTGATGTTAAAATGGTAACGAGAAACATACTTTAATTACAGGTATATACCTTTCATCAAACATTTACAATAAAAATTAATATAAGTTTTAAATATAAGTTTTAAGATTGAAATGATTAACAATTGTCGTGTATTAAAATATACATGTATGAGAATTTCTCAAGTAACGAACTACGGTCTCTGATCCATATATGTATAAGAATTTCTCAAGTAACGAATTACGGTCTCTAATTCATATACGAGAATTTCTCAAGTAACAAACTACGATCTTCAATCCAATAATGTTTGTATTTTATATGAGAATAATAATGTAAGATATAAAAGTCTGATATAAAAGTCATAATGTATTTAAGTATCATGGCTTTTAGAATTTCTATCCAAAGAATTTAGTTAAAATTTCTATTTAAAATTTTCTTTTAAATGATAATACATGCATGGCGCCGATAGATAATTTAAAAAATTATTAGCTGTAACGTTACTCGTACTGCGTACGTACTTTAACAATATTTGTTTCTTTTTTTAATTGCAGGCGAAGCGTCCGTCCCTCACTTGAATCGAGCAATGTGGTGAGTCTCGACTTTCCTTCCATATTACTTTGTAACTTTAGATTATTCGTTGGAGTTACACTGTGGCCTTGCGTTATCCATTTCATAGATATGCAAACCTTAATATGCGAAGTAATGTTGGGCTGAACCGTAACTTTATAGGATAGGTTGTTGAGCAAATGTTAATAAAACGTTATTTTTAGAGATTCAAGAAGTCACACTACTGCGCCATACTTAAAATTAATTCGAATCTATTGACTCCTGATTTTTTCAAACAAGTTGTTTAGTCAATTGAAGATACACCTCGTATAAACAATTTACAAAATGCACGAGATGTGTTATTTAAATAGCGATAGCAAAGAAAAATTTAGTTTCATTTAATTTTGGCCATAGGCCAATTATACATAGTAAATATTAATGAAATCAGTAGCTAACATTAATATGAACAAAAATAGCAATATATGAAATTAAATAAAAATTGGTCTTGCAAAGAGATTCGAATTCAATGTCTATAATTATTGTTCTAATCACATTTTAATACTCTAAAATTTTATAAAATCATTCATTACACAAGTTGTCTTTTATAAGCATCACATTGTAAGAATGAATTTCCTAAAAAATGAAAAGTGTGCAATCCCCAAATTTTTTAAAATGGAATGGTATATTCTATTTTTCATTATTTCAATAACTATTGCTAAATCTAATAAACTTTACTTGAGATATTTTTAGCATAGTTATAGCACATTCTACATAGTTATAATTAAGAGCCATAAACTCTTTTCTTCAAAGTAATTTTCAAAGAAATATATTTTCCATTCTTCTGTTTAAGTATTTATTTATTTATTCATTTGTGTTATTATTATTGTGTTTTATATTCTCATATTGTGTATTCTATTCATTTATTTTTAGATATTTTTCATTCAAATATTGTCGTCAATTTGAACATCAAAATTACTCTTGAGAATGATATTTACTTTTTAAATATGCAAAATAAAAAAAATGTTTCAATGAGTGTTGTTGTTAAATTTCAATAACATCTATTGGAATAATAAAAAAGAAATTGGGGTTCTTTTTAGAAAACTCATTCCTACAATTTTTTAAAACCTAAAGTGTTAACCTCTCCGAGCCATCATTGATATCTGCAATAATTTTAAAGAAAACAGCTTGTAACATTTAAATGATGCATGTCTTTCTTTTTAACTTCAGCTGATCATTTGATTTTAGTTACGATAAATGGCAAAGATTTTTATACAAGAATATTCGTTTATATAACGGTATTAATATAATGATAGAAGTACAAACTTTTTGATGAAACTGTGTCAAGTATCTAAATACTTATAATAATTTATTAAGTAATTGATATATGTATTTTGTATTTCAAACTTGTATCATTCACTTTACGTTTCTTTATTGCGGCTATTCTGTTAACGATTCTCCGAGGCAAATAACCTTAACCCTTTGCTCCAAAACCGCGAGTAAAAGAACAGTGTGTAGAAAACAAGTGTGCCAGTACACGCATACACGCGTCACGTGTCGTGTTTTCATTGCGTGCTGTTATGCCTAATTAGTGGCTTGGCCGGTTGCATGCGGAAAGTAACTTAACTATTTTTTTCGCGTAATTAACTGATGAACGCGCGTTAAACGCGTTGTCGCGTTTCTCTTTCAACACTGTTTCAATTTGTCCTACTATCGACGTAGTACACGGTGTACTACTATTCCTTTTGATACACAGTTCAAAATTCCAAATTCCAAATTATTCTATCGATCGTGGTTGAACGATTACTCCGTCCGTCTACTTCGAGCGTAAACGTGTTGCAATTTAGTTAGAAACCGTCAGCATCATTGATAAAAGGTTATTGTCCGATCTAATTGCCAGTTGAACTCGTTCAGTCCTGTACTCGCGGTTTCATTTACCACCGTGTGTCGTATGTCCTATCTCGGCGGAATCAACACGATCTCGTTGCAGCATGCGCGTCAATACTCACGTATACTTATACGTATGTCGACTCACTCGACAGCACATTGCTTATTCTTACTTCAATGTATGCAGAGCTTGAGGTGAATCTATTTTGAAGATGAAAATATCGCTAATTCCGTAGAAACAAGAGGAAACATGACCTCTTGTGTATATTATTCGTGTAATTTTTAGACAATATTCAACACGGCAGAGAACCATGTTAATGCATTATTCGATGTTCGATCGGCCTGCGTAGAATGCTGTCCACGTTCCGATCTATCGGTTCACGGAAGTCCGCATTGACCGGCGCCGTGTTATAAAAATTCAAGAATTCCACGAAGTTTCTGGTAGCGGCCTACAGACGTTTCTATTCGCATGGAATGAATCACGGTCGCGATTTGAAACGCAAAATACTCGAAGGCGAGACGGGTTAGAACGGACGCGACGCCTTCTACACCGAAATTTCCGTTTGCCTCGTGAATATCTACATAATACGTCGGAAGTGGCGATCGTACGATCCCGTGTCATTTGCATCGGCTGGAATTGGCTAATCGGCAATTCCGCGTAGGTTAACCAAACGGCCGTCGAGAATACCGTAGTCGATCTTCCGTGTGAACACGACCGCGCGCGCTCCTATCACGATATATAAACGTTCATTAATTAATTGATTGAAATTAAATTGTACGAAGCTTCAAATTAGTCTCGTAAACACGTACGTGTAAATTGACCGTAGTATCGATCGTGATTACCGAGGGGGCTCCCTTCAAGAAAATTCCGTCATCGATGATTTGTCACAAAGCACATGATACTACTCGACACAACAAAGTTTGGAATTAATATTAATTATCGTGCGATCATTGGCGCGATCATAGGACGAAAGAACGAATGAAATTACGCACGAAACGCTCTACACGAAGTAGAACGAGGTCGTCGCTCGTGCGTTATGAACTTTACATTACGTTATAAAGCGACGCGTCGAGACGTTCGATTCGTTCCGTTGATTTGCCTCTGTTACTTTTAGGAGTTCGAGTCTAGTACCGCGAACCATTTGTCTTCATCTTGATCGTCATTTCTTTTCATTTGTTCCATCGACGTGGAACAAGACCCTCCGTCACCTTATTCTATTAGCAGCCACGCTGCGATACAGCATATGCAAGGCCCTTATCGTTATTGTAGAACGATGTCCCGTTCACTGAACCTTTCTGCTTATACGTACGTAGTAGTGTAGATCTGGCCGCTGGTTGTTGAATCGTGTTCTATCGTTCGATTCTGCGTACCGTTTCGTTCGAGGTCAGGTCTAGCAATGGAGGAGAAGTACACGATCGAAGTACGGAGACGTTGTCAGCTCGTGAAAAATGCTTCGTCAGAGACATTGAACGTCGCTGTAATCTTCGGCCGCGTGGCAAATTAAGACAAGCTCAAGCCCGGACGTTCTTCGCTCGATTCTACAAAATTTTGTACGCTTGCAGTTAATCACTGGCTTTGGATGATGTCGCATTCTGTCCAACACAGATTCCATAGCTTTATCTCTAATTCTTCGTTTGGAGAATGTCGCTCGTGGCTGTTTCAGCCTATTGAATCGGGACAGATATACGAATTGACACGTGCTGCGTGTCATTATTATCGTTCCTTCACTTTGGTTTTGTAATAGTAGCGGAATTATTGGTTGAATTGTAAGTTGAACAAATCGAAAGTCTCTCTGGCTCGCCTCTCGTATTCTCTTCTAAATTCACGTTGCACTGCATCAGCCTGCATCGGCTACAGAAAAGGCAATTCCGTATGCGCGAATCGTATTCGGTTACATCATTATTAGCATTCATACGTCGTGCATAGTTCGCGTCGAGCCCCGTGATCCGCCGTGGAGGATCAAGCGGCGATAAAGTACCGAGGCGCGGCATCGCGAAATCTGTCAATGAAGCGACGTTTCTATCAGCGTGGATTTCTAAATGAAAGAGAGAAGAATAGTCGGAGAAGGGAGCGCGCGTTGGTATTGGTTCGTGCCACATCCTAGAAAAAAAGCGGGTCACGTGGACGATGGTTCCAGTCGCCGACAGGACAACGTTACGTGGCAAGGACGACCGTCATCGTCAGCGACGCCGGCGTCGACGCGACGCTCATTGGCCTAAATCGCGGCTCGACCAACGTGTAGCATGCTAATTCTCGCCAGTGAAACAATGTCAACGTATCGTCTCCTCTGTTTCAACCGGTCGTTTCTTTTTCCCCTCTGTTCGTTTCGTTTAGGTAGCCGACTTTCATATTTTACAGTCCCACTCGTCAAGTCTTGTTAGCCTCTTCGTACTGTATCCGAAGCGTATCGGATCCGTTTATTGAAGCGTTGATACGATAGAGCTCTCGTGTTTTATGACACGGTCCTTACTTGACTGGTCCAATGATGCGTAATGATAGTTCGTATCTTCTTTCTACGAAGTTTGCCGAGTCGGAGTCCTCGAAGTTACAAGATCGTCGTAATTGATAATGGTGTGATACGCGCGGGACAATTTGATCTTGCAGACAACGTGTTCGGTCGGTTCGAATAATCGGATTTCTTGGAAATTGCGTTACTGTATCTACTGCATACGTGTACACGCGAGCGTGTCGAGGGGATGATGAGGGACGATTCTACGATAGGATTAATAATAATCTCGACTATCAAGTTTCCCTGCTAGGATTAGGAGTTGAAAAGTCTATATATAGGCGGGAGAGGGACTTTATCTTCCCGCTCCAATTTGGTTCACGGAAGTTCAGTTCCATCTCTCGTTAATGGTTAAAGGTGACGTTCAGCAGAACTCGTGCAAGATTCGCGCCAACTTCGTTCCACGGAACGATGTGCCCTAACGATTCGTCTTAAAGGTGAATATATATATATATATATATACGTGGCAGCTGCGTGGTCCCTCCCTGGCATTTCCCGAAAATGCCAACTTTATTAATTTCTAAAATCTACGAGAGATGTCGAGAATCTACGCGTTCCGCAATCAGATCTATTTCGTCGTGCGCTGTCAAATGGTCGAAGCAACGTATTTACCTGGTAATGAAAACCGAAATTTGTCCGCGGAACACGCGC